GAGGCGGGATGCAGCAGGTATTGGTGTTCTTTCTTTATAGTAAATATTTAACCACGTAACATTCCTAGGCTACCGGCCACTGCTAAGTGACAGACAAAATCCTAAGCCACAGATGTTGCCCTCTGACCCTCAGCTCAGAAAGCCGAGGCTGTTGACTGGAGTCCTTAGAACTTCAGAGAGCTTAGAAGTTTGTGCATTTCATCAACTGACTTGCTTCGTCTGTCAGAAAGCATTAAGCCTCAGAATTTATACCTTCCCTTCTTCATTCACGTGTGTATATTCATACATTGAGCCCCTCTCTGGTCTTGGTTCTGCACTGGGTGCAGTGAATAAAACAGACAAAGGCCCCTGCCTCTGGGAGCCAACATTCTACCAGGGAAGAGGGACAATAAACAATGAGCATACTGTATATATTAATTATATGTCAACATTATACCTTATAAGGTGACGAGCCTATAGATGAAAATAACGTGCTGTAAATGGAACAAGAATGTGTGGAGGTGGGATGGGGCAGGGGATGGCATTAAATAGTCAGGGTAACCTTCTCTGAACAAGTGAGATTTCATCAGCGTCCTGAAGGAGATGAGGAATTCATCAAATGGACGTCTGAGGGGAGAGAAACAACTAGGCCCCTAGCTGGGAGTATGCTTGGAGTGTCGGAGCAACAGAAAGATGGGTGTGGCTGAAGCAGGCTGAATGAAGACTAGAGAAGTAAGAGACAAAATTGGAGTGGGAACTAGGGAGCAGGCAGTCAGTGGGGATCGGAGGTGCTCGGCCTTGTAAGCCATTATGAACACTTGAGTACTTACTCCAGTGGAAAGGGGAACTTGCACAGAACTGTGAGCAGCTGTGTCTCATGATTTGACTTCTGTTTTTAAAAGGACCACTGCGGCTGCTCTGTTGAGAACAGATTGTAGGGAAGCCAAGGCAGGGCCCAGGAAGTGGGGAGAGGGGTGTGGGGGTGAGGCTGCTGCAGTAACAGATGACATGGCTCAGATGAGGGTGACAGTGGTGGGGACACTGAGACGCAGTTGAATAATCAGTATATTTTAAAGGTGGAGCTGACCTGATTAACTGATGGATTAGATGTGGGGTTGAGAGAAAAAGAGGAGTCAAAAAATACTTAAGAAGTTTTTGGCTTGAACCACTAGAAGGATAGAGTTTCCATCAACTGAGATAGGAATAGCTGTGAGTGGAGCAGGGTTTTTGGGGGGAACTCAACAACAGGAAGGACTAAACTATAAACACATACAAGGATTTGAATGAATCACCAAAGGTATTTTGTCGAATGGAAAAAGGCAGTCCAAAAATATTTCATAGTGTTTGATTCCATTTGTAAAATATTCTGGAAAAGGTAAAGCTGTATGGATGAAAGAGGAATCAGCTTTGCCAGGGGTTAGGGTTGAGGGGTGGGTTTGATGGCAAAGGGGCAGGATGAGGGGATCTGGGTGATTAACTGGTCTGCATCTTAATCATGTCAGTGGGTACAAGAATCTATATCTGTTAAAATTCATATACTGTACACGAAAGCAAAGTTGATAATATGTCAATTTAAAAATTAACAAATATTTAAAAATTTAGGCTGGGCATGATGCCTCATTCCTGTAATTCTAGCACTTTGGGAGGCTGAGGCTGGCAGATTGTTTGAGCACAGGAGTTTGAAACCAGCCAGGACAACATGGTGAAACCCTGTCTCTACAAAAAAACATAAAAATTAAGGAGGTGTGGTGGCATGCATCTGTGGTCCCAGCTACTTGGGAGGCTGAGGTGGGAGGATCATTTGAGCCTGGGAGGCCGAGGCTGCAGTGAACCAAGATTGTGCCACTGCACTTCAGCCTGGGTGACAGAGTAAGACCCTATTGCAAAAAAAAAAAAATTAAAAATATTATGTTGCTGTTTTAGGAAAGTAATATTTATCGGTGCATGGTAATTGTAGTATTTGTCAGCTTTTAAAATTATAATTTGATTTATCTATATATTTTAATTTAATTTTTTTATTTATTAAGATGCAGTCTTGCTCTTGTCATCCAGGCTGGAGTGCAATGACGTGATTTTGGCTCACTGCAACCTCCACCTCCTGGATTCAAATGATTCTCCTGCCTCAGCCTCCTGAGTAGCTGGGATTACATGCATCAGCCACCATGCCCAGCTAATTTTTGTATTTTTAGTAGAGGTGGGGTTTCACCATGTTGGCCAGGCTGGTCTTGAACTCCTGACCTCAGGTGACCCATCCGCCGGCTTCCCAAAGTGCTGGGATTACAGGTATGAGCCGCCGTGCCCAGCCTTTCTCCATATACATTTTTGTACCTGATTTTTTGTTCATAATATTTTACTGTTTTTCTTAAAATACAACAGCTGATAGCCACCTCTCTGCTGGATAGACCTCCAGTCCCACGAACCCCAGATCTGCCCCTGGAACAGACATCAGATGGGAGACCCTGTGCAGTCAGAGGCTCATCCTGGGCCCTCATTTCTGTTTGCTGGGACTGCCCTCTAATCGATCAGTGCTTACATACAAGTTCATCATCAACTTCTGTGGATTCAGGAGGTGGATTGAAGGGATGCTCAGACACTGGTGCCTGATGGGCAGAGCCCTGCAGGAACCAGTGTCATGAAAGCCTGAGGATGAAGACCGGTTTAGAGGTGACTGAACAGCAGAGAAACCTTAAGGGCACCCATAGCATCTATTTTTAGGAGAACCTACCATCACCATGCTGCAGAAGGTGCCTCAGAAAGACTTCAACCACAAAGCATGGTCTGGGGGGCATTCAGGGTTATGGTGGCAAATACGGGTGGAAGCAACCGCTGGGATGAGCTCCATTTTGGCCAAGTGAGTATGAGGTGTCTGTGAGGCATCCAGGTGAAAATCTTGGGGAGGGAGTTGAATATGAGTCTGCAGTTTAGGAGAGAGGTGTGGGCTTCAAGTATCAACGCAGGAGTAACATTAATACGGTCTTTAGTTCTGGCTCAGACCTGGCTCTGACCAGGGAGTTCTTCCCTGTGATGAATTTCCCTGTCCTTCCTGTCACCCCCAGCCTACCAGCCTTCACTCCCCACCCTACCAACAATCCAGCCAAGGAAAGGAAGAGCACGCAGAAGACAGACAATTGATTTGGAGGTACAGGATGAGCAGGTTGCTTTCCTACAACCATTACCCATGCTTCCTCTCCAAGTAGGAAAGGAGGCCTAGGGCAGGGAGGAGGTAGTGTGGGTGGGGATCCAGTGAGAGCTTTCTTGCTGAGAGAGTCATGGAAACCTGATTGCCTATCAGGCTGAGTCCTAGGGATGGGATATTGGTTGACAACCCCCCAGATAGGGTTGTGAGATATAGAGATAGAGGTGATCTATGCCTCCTCTTCTGAATATAGCCCTAGGAATCATCAGAACAGTAAAAGAGCAATGGTGTGTGGTACGTCCAGCAGATAAGGTCTGAACAACTCACAGTTGTCTGTCTCGAAAAAAAAAAAACCATCATTATGGTCAGGCACAGTGGCTCACGCCTGTAATCCCAGCACTCTGGGAGGCTGAAGCAGGTGGATCACCTGAGGTCAGGAGTTCAAGACCAGCCTGGTCAATATGGTCAAAACCCATCTCTACTAAAAATATAAAATGTTAACCAGGCATGGTGGCACGTGCCTGTAGTACTAGCTACTCAGGAGGCTGAGGCAGGAGAATTGCTTGAACCTGGGTGGTTGCAGTGAGCTGAGATCGCGCCATTGCACTCCAGCATGGGCAACAGAGTGAGACTTTGTCTCAGAACAACAACAAAAAAAGGAAAATCTAATTCAAATGGAATTAACAGATTTTATTGGCTCAGTAATAAAAGCTCAGATGTGCCGGGCGCGGTGGCTCAAGCCTGTAATCCCAGCACTTTGGGAGGCCGAGGCGGGTGGATCACGAGGTCAAGAGATCGAGACCATCCTGGTCAACACGGTGAAACCCCGTCTCTACTAAAAATACAAAAAATTAGCTGGGCATGGTGGCGCGTGCCTGTAATCCCAGCTACTCAGGAGGCTGAGGCAGGAGAATTGCCTGAACCCAGGAGGCGGAGGTTGCGGTGAGCCGAGATCGCGCCATTGCACTCCAGCCTGGGTAACATGAGTGAAACTCCG